CTCACTAGATGTTGCTAAGGCAACCTAAAATGTAAACATGTTCCGCCCAATGCCTCTTAGCTATTGCTTAAAGATATAAAAATAAATCAGACCCTGAGATTTCTCAGAGGGAACCTGCACATTGCTTGCAAAGGTTCTTTTCTCACTCGCCTGTCCAAGACCTCTCCCCTTCCTACCCTGCATCGACTGCAGCTGGTCTGTGGCATGATTGCTTTAACTAAGGCTCTGGAATTGGGAAAAGGAGAAAGGAGAAATACATTCACTGATAACCATTATGCTTTTGCCACCGCCCATGTACATGGGGAGATTTATCAAAACAGAGGGCTGCTAACCTCCGAAGGGAAGGAAATTAAAAATAAGACTGAGATATTGGCACTGCTACAAGCCATCTGGTTGCCCCAAGAGGTTGCCATCATCCATTGACATGGGCACCAAAAGGGGTCAAGCCCTGAGGTGATTGATAATAATGCTGCTGATCAGGCAGCAAGACAAGCCACCCAAAAATCAGTGGGGAAGCAAATGGTTCTGCTTCCCACACTGGTACTCCCAGAAAAACCTAAATATACAGACAAGGAGATAACGGAAATAAACAGGAGACGCTGGATTCGAGGAAGACATGGGTGGTGGATGACTAAGGAGGGAAAGGTGGTGCTCCCAGCCGCTGTAGCAGACACGTTGCTGCGAGAACTACATGAGTCCACCCACCTCAGCAAGAAAAGGATGATAGCTGCCTTACAACCCCATTTCGTCAGCCAGGGATTAGCCCAAAAGGCCCAAGACATGGTGAGACGATGCCCCACCTGCCTCAAGGTAAATGCTAATCGGGTAACCGGGCTCCCTGGGGTCTGACACAGAGGACTAACTCTGGGAGAACATTGGGAGTTGGACTTTACTGAAATAAAGCCTGGCATGTATGGGTATAAATACCTGCTAGTTTTTGTGAATACATTTTCAGGATGGGTAAAAGCATACCCCACTAAAAAGGAGACAACAGAACAGTTAAAAAGCTCCTTACAGAAATAGTTCCCCGTTTTGGTTTGCTCTTAGCTCTGGGGTCCGACAATGGTCCAGACTTTACGGCTAAGATATCTAAGTTAATTAGTAATATCCTTGGAATAAAGTGGAATGTACACTGTGCCTATAGGTCTCAAAGTTCAAGACAGGTAGAAAGAACAAATCGAACTTTAAAAGAGATTCTGACTAAATTATGCTTGGAGACTGAACTAGGTTGGGTAGAGCTTCTCCCTTTTGCCCTCCTCCGAATGAGGTGCATTCCCAAGCCTCCCCTCAATCTGTCCCCCTTCCAGATTGTTTATGGGCGATCTCCCCCAATCATTCCATTAATAGATGTAAAATTGAAGGAAAAATTTTCCCACCTTTGACTCCTTAAATCCTTAAAAGCAGTTCATCAGCTTCAGTCAGAGCTACATGAGACATTACGAAAGAAAATGACTAGTCCAAATGAAAAACCTCTACAACCTTTACCCTATAGGCCGGGAGATTTGGTTCTTATTCGCAGGTTTGATTCCGAGACCCTGGAACCTCATTGAAAGGGACCGGTTCCTGCTGTCCTGTCAGCTCCCTTGGCGGTGAAGGTGGCTGGACATTCTGCCTGGATACATCGAAACCATCTGAAAGCAGGACCCCCCCCCCAACCGTGGATGTCAAAAAGGACAAATGGAAGGTTATCAGCCAACCAGGCGACCAAAAGCTAAAACTGGAACGGGTTGGAGATGTTTCACCTTAATGATAACATTCTCTGGGACACTGGCATTATTGCCCCCAAGAGGACTAGATCACACAAAAAATGTATGGATTCAATTGGCAAACTCGCTTAACTTGTCTGAATTCTGCTCAAATGTTGATGTAAATTTCCATTATGTACTGGGAAGCTGTCTCATTCCGGTATGTACCTCTTTAGAATTAATATGACCCTATACCCTATGTAAAGACATCCCAGGAAAAAAATCTTACTTACCTGGATAGTTATAATTGGGGGCATAACACCTGCCGTAAACCTAAAAATGCTGTCAAATTATATACACCCAAGGTAATTATGTCAAACAAAACTGAATGTGCTATGTATAAAAACTGTACAACCAAATGTCTGAGGATAAAACAGTCAGAAGAGATGTCCTGCCACATAGAACAAAAAATTGTGTGTAACAATTGCCATATCTCCCTGCCCACAAGATGGTTTTATACCTGTGAAAAAATAACCTTTAATTATATTCCAGCAAATTTAACCAAGACCAGTTGCTGTTTGAGTCGTCTAGCTGTAGTGTTGCCAGAGTCTCGTTCATCAGAGAACGCATTAACACTATACAGCTGATGGTACTCAGGTCCCAATACCAGCCAGTCTCTACAGACCTAATAAAATTAACCCCCAGAGGCCTATGATTGGCCCTCTATAACATCATGAGAAGGGGGGAATGTGAGACCAAAGCGACTCCATTTTGCTAAAATCCACCATTCCCCTAGCCTCGCAAATTAATGGTTAAAATGTGTTTGCTCTGGGACAGAAGATACAATCTGTAACAAACCAAAGTTCCTAAGTTAATTACTCAGCCATCTGTTTGCCCGGGAAATGAACGTTCCGGGCCCCCTATCCATAGAACAATCTGTAGATGTGCTGACTGTCAGTACGTAATGGTCGTGACTAATAGTCAGTGTGTCTGCTGACCATCCGTACGTGACAGTCGACCACCAACCTTTGCCCCTCATTTCCCTCGTAAAACCTACATATAACCGCCCCTCAACGCCCCCCCACGCGCCTGGCCAATCAAAAATGTACACTTCATGCTTGCTAATTGTCAACCAATCATGTAACTGCTAAAAGGAAAATCTCCAAACCTTGCTGTAACCTCTATAAAAACCCCGCTAATTTGAAATTCAGGGTTCTCGATCTTGATCCGCTGCGTCAGTGACAATTGAGAGTCCCTGCTCGAGCTTGAATTAAACGACCCTCGTGCGTTTGCATCGGAATCGGCTCCTTGGTGGTCTTTGGGGACTTCGCAATCTGGGCACAACAGTGAGAACCCTGAACCAAGAATCTCACGAGGCCGTCTGGAGGGAGGGGACCTTACTGTGGAAACGACTACAGGTTTCCAAAAACACCACACTCGCACGAAAATCCCCGGAGGCAGCAAATCAAAACAAACTTCAAGGCCAGAGCCACAGCACTGGCTGCAGCGCCCAAACATCGCGAGATCTGCTGGCCAAGGCAAATCCCCCCTCCCCACACACAAACACCTCGCGCGCGCCGTTACCCCTCAACATCTCGCGATACCAAGGCGCAGGAGCCGCTCTCTACTAGCTTGGACTTGCAGGAAAGATGGAGTATCCTGCGTTGGGCACTGTGGATGCTGCGGATGGCCGAAGGGCCGAGCCATACAACAGCTCGGGAGAGCGGGAGGGCGGGGAACCGGACGGGGTGCGCTTGGACCGCGAGAGGGCGCGCCGCCTGTGGGAAGCAGTGTCCAGTACTCAGCCGGTGGGGAGGGAGGAAGGTGAGTCCGAGATTAGAAGCTGAAACCCCTCACCCGCCTGCTCCGTTTGCGAGGAGTGGCGCAGACAGGGGGCGGGACTGCGGTCCTACCCCTCGGGGCTCTGGTCACACCCCCTGGCCCCCGACCCGCCTTCTTGCGTGACGCGACCCGGGAGTCCCCAACACGGCATCGTGCGCGAAGGTTCCAGGCTTGTCTCGCTCAGGTCCCAGGTTATTTCCCCTCTCTCTAGGATTGCCCTCGCGGAGACCTACATAATCTTTTCTGCCGTACTGGCGGCCAAGCCAAGTATTTCTCCTTGACTCTCGTCTCATTCTCCAGAATTCCCCACCTCCATTGTTTCTTGCCCTTTTTCTCTCAAGCCCTACACTAATGAGGGGATCTGGAAGGCCTTCCTTCCTCCTGGCTTTGGTGTTTGTGCGCTGGCTTACTGCTGTTTCTAGGTATCTGGCCTCTTGCTGGGATCTTATTCTAAGATGAGGGCTAGGTGCCTGAGAAAGTGGCCTAGCTATGCGTTTTGGTTCCAGAACAGTGTACCCAAGGCCACGCCGTGTCACTTCTGGGCTAAAGCTTCCCAGCTTACTCTGTTTAATCTGAGACTGGGTAAGATGGGAAATAAAAAAAAAAAAAGGATGGGAAATTTTAAGAAAAGGATGAGAAGAGCTGGTCTGTCCATCTTGTGTGACCCCCTTCAGCTGTCTTAGAGCTGCTACTTGACGCTAACCCAGATACACAGGAATTGTATTTGGGCTTCTTTGCTAATCTTGTCAGGTATCTACAGGGAAATCAGTTTTCTTTAATGACTTTGCTTGCTTAGCAGACTAATCTTGAAAAGTTTAGTATGTTTGTAAACTGCCCTTGGATAAAATTGAATTTTGACCACATTCTAGGAAGAGATGTTTAAGTTTGTCTATGTCTGCAATCTAATCTGTAAGTCTAGCCTGACTTCTAAATAATGTGCATACTATTTCTTAGCCCCTATATCTTTTTAAAATATACTTGGTACAAAGTTGTCTCCCCTTTCAATTTTCATTTTATTAATTTGACAGACATTCACTGATGCTTGCTGTTTTACCCGAACTGACTGGCCATCAGAACTAGAGATGAGGGGCCCGGGATTTAGCTCAGTGGGTTCCACGGCCTGCCTCGAAAGCGCAAGGACCTGAGTTCGATCCCCGGTACCCAAAAATAAAAAGTAAAAAGAGAACTAGAGATGAGTAATTTACTGTCCTTGCACTGAAGGGGCTTAAAGGCATCAAAATGTATAAGGTTCCAGAAAAAAAAAAAAAGTATAATGTCCCAGTGTAATGTAAGAGATGCAATGAATAAGAATGTCTAAGAATTGGAGAACACAAAAATAAAGTGACTTTGGTTTATAGGGAAGGCATGCCCTGGACTTTGAAGTAGAGAAAACAGCAGCTGTGCTCTGAAAAAAACTTGTCTCCTTATATGTGTATAAATATGGTGTCACTATTATGATCTAGATCATTTCCCTATTCTCACTTCTCCTGCTATGAGATCTAGGTAGATATCTACAACACTCTATGTTCTACTCACTTTTCTCTCATATCACTTTCATTAAACTATAATTTATATTCATGTGTATATGTTCAACCATTGTAAGCATACCATTGAATGATTTTTAGTAAAAGTATAGAGATGTATACCCATAACCCCAAGTTGTGGAACATTTCCATCACCCCTGTTAGTTTATTTGTGCTCCTTCTCATTAAATCCCTCCTCCCATGTCCTGCCCTAGGTGACCACTGATCGGTTTTCTGTCTCCATAAATTTTCCTATCTGAACATTTCATACAAGTCGAATCATACAATATGTACTCTTTTAAGTTTGGCTTCTCTTAGCATGTTTTTGAAGTTCACCAAGTCATAGTGTGTATTAGTACTTTCTCTTTGTTGCTAAATAGAATTTCAGCGAATGGATATACCACATTTTGTTTATTCATTAGTTGCAAACATTTGGAACTCTTGTGAATAATGCTCCTATGAATGTGCTCAAGTTTTTGTGTGGACATTCATTTCTCTTAAGTATATCTCTAGGAGTGGAATTGCTGGGTCATGTAATAATTCCACCTTTACCTTTTTTTCCCTTTGTACTAGTTGTTGAACCCAGGGCCTCATGCATGTTAGGTATGTGTTCTACCACTGAGCACTTTTTAATTTTTTCTCATTTTGAAACAGAGTCTTGCTAAGTTACTCAGGCTGGCCTCGAACTTGCAATCCTGCCTTAGCCTACTGAGTAGCTGGAATTACAGGCATGCACCAGTACACCCAGCTCCAGCAGACTTTAACATTTTGAGGAACTGCCAAACTATTTTCTAAAATGGCTTCACCAGTTTACATTTCTTCCAACAATTTATGAGGATTTCATTTTCTCTATCTCCTCCCCAATATTTGTTATTGTTATGTTTTTAATGTTAGCCATTCCAAAGGGCATTGCAGAAAAATATTTGCCAACTTTATTTAACAAAGAATTCATACCTAGAATATATAAGGAACTCAAAAAAATTCACACTAAAAAACCCCAATTAGACAAATACACAAATGGGCCAATGATCTGAACAGACATTTCTCAAGAAATACAGATGGCTAACAATTATATGAAAAAACATTCACTATCACTAGCCATCAGGGAAATGCAAATCAAAATTTCAATGATGTATCATTTCACTCCACTTAGAATGGCTATTACCAAAAAACAACATGGTGGTGAGGATGTGGATAAAAAGGGACTCTCATGCACTGATGGTAAGGATGTAAATTAGTATAGTCATTATGGAGAATAGAGGTTCTTTAAAAAACTGAAAAAAAAAACCTGAAAATAGATCTACCATACAGTCTACATATTCCACTGCTGAGTATATATCCAAAGGAAATAAAATTAGCACACAAATACCTATATGCCTCTGTTTACTGCAACACTATTCAAAGTAGCCAAGATATAGAATCAATCTAGATGCCCATCAACAGACGAATAGGTAAAGAAAATGTGGCATATATACAAAATGGAATATTTTCCCATAAAGTATGAAATTCTGTCATTTTTAGCAAGGTGCATGAATTGGAGGACATTATGTTAAATGAAATAAGCCAGACACAGAAAGACAAGCACAGCATGTTCTCTCTTATATGTGGAAGCTAAGAAAAAAGTCAACTTGAAGATATAATAGAGATAATTATGGGCGAGGGGTTTAGCTCAGTGGTTTTGCGCCTGCCTCGCAAGCGCAAGCGCAAGGTCCCAAGTTCGATACCTGATACCAAAAAAAAAAGAGAGAGATAGCTAGAGATTGGGAAGAGAGGTTGAATTTCCATCAGTCCATGCTATATGCATAAGTTAAAATATCACATTGAGCTGGGTGTGGTAGTGCATGCCTATAATTCCTGCATTCTGGGAAGCTGAAGCAGGAGGATAATAAGTGCAAGCCCAGCTTGGGCAATTTACCAATGTAGTGAGACCCTGTCTCAAAATTAAAATGTAACAGTGTGTTCATCAGCTACAGACTATGTGTGCAACAGTAAGTCTCCTACGATAAAAAGAGGAGCTGAAGAATTCCTATCACATAGTGATATCATAGTTGTAACATGCAATGCATTATTCTCATGTTTGTGATGATGCTGGTATAAACAAATTATTGCATGTCAGTCTTAATGAAAATATAGCATACTGTCATCCCAGCACATTGGGAGACAAGTGGGAAGATCACAAGTTCAAGTCCAGCCTGGGCAATTTCGTGATTTGGCAAAACTCTCTTAGAATTTTTTAAAAGGGTGGGCGGTGTAGCTCAGTATGAATGCCCTGAGTTCAGTCACCAATCACCAAAAAAGAAAACAAAACATATATACTACTGGATGATAATAATGAACAACTATGTTACCAATTTATATATTTAACTTTCTTACTGTTAGAGTGTATTCCTCCTTTGGGGAGGGTAGTTTTGAGACAGGGTCTCATTATATAGTTCAAGCTGGCCTTGAACTCTCTACATAGCCAAGGCTAGCCTCAAATTTAACAGCAATCCTCCTGCCTCAGCCTCCCAAGTGCTGGGATTATAGGCATGCACTACTACGCCTGGCCTATTTTTCCTTATTAAAAAAAAGTTGACTATGGCTAGGCCTGCCTTGCAAGCACAAGATCCTGAGTTCAATCCTGGGTACCAAGGGAAACAAAAAAGTTTACTGTAAAAACAGTATGCTATGTTACTCTGACAGCAGTCTCATAAGTCTTGTTTTTACTGCATTACTTGATTGTGTTAAGAGTGATTGACCTATTCTGTCTAGATTCGTATAAGTATACTCAATGATGCTCACACAATAAAATTACCTAATGATGCATTTTTTTAGAAAGTATCTTCATCATTAAGTGAAACAGAATTGCATATTTATAGAAGTGTGCAACTATCACCACTACCTAATTTATCTAAGAACATTTTTATTACTTCGGAAAGAAACCTATACCCAGAAGTAATCATTCCTGGCAATTCCTTATCCCTTTCTATGGGTTTGCCTATTCTGGACATATCATGTAAATAGAATTGTATATGTGGCCTTTAGTGTCTGGCTTTTCACTTAGCATAATAATGTTAAAAGGACAGTTTTGTTGGGTATAGAATGCTTGGTTGATGATTTTGTTATTTTTCACTACTTTGAATATGTCATTCCACTGCCTTCTGGCCTTCATTGTTTCAGATGAGAAGTTAAATTATTAATTGAATTATTCCAGTGTACATGCTAAGTCATTTACCTTTTGCTGCTCTCAGGATCTTCTTTGTCTTTGAACAGTTTGAGTATGACGTGGCTAGGTGTAGATCTTTTAGTATTTATCCTACTTTGAGTTCTTTCAGTTTTGTTTTGTTTTTTGTTGTTACTGTTTTTGGGGGTTTGTTTTTTTTTTTTGGTATCAGGGATCGAACTCAGGACCTTGTGCTTATGAGGCAGGTGCCAGAACCACTGAGCTGAATCCCCGGCCTTTGTTTTGTTTTTTGAGAC